AACAACAGAAATGGACATAGCTAAGAAGTTTAATTCAAATTAGTGTATTTTTTCTGAATTTTAACTAAAAAAATGGACATAGCTTAGGCCACTATTACCTCATGGTGACCACCTTCAAACCGACAAAAAATAGCAAGTGTGAGTGGGACAATGATGGACAGCTGCAATAATTTAAAGCCAACCCTATTTTTTTAAACCAACTCACAAGCACCTTTTGCCTCCACAAAACAAAGACTATAGTACCCACATGTAACATAAAATAAGCTAATAAGACAACAACAAAATATTACCTGATGTCAAATTCAACAATGTAAATATGTCTCTGTAAAAGCCAACAACTCCTGTGGATCATATGGCCATCTTTGACGAAAACATGGATATAAAAAATTCCTGTCACCAAATAGATTTTTCAGCACAATCCAGCAGGTGGCAGGCCAACAGCCTTTCTCAGCACTATGGTTAGCATTAGTTTCTGAAACACATTGGTAGTCGGTTGACCGATATGAATGTTCATATCGTATTGCACGGTAAACACAGGTAACATCTACTGCCGTAATTTTTTCCAACTCAGTGTTATTTGGTTTGCAGAGAAATACTGCACACTTTTGGATGTTTGTTGTGTACTTGTTGTGCGAGACTCACGTGCACCGTGTAGTTTCCCATCAGATCTACCACCATGTCCGATAGAAATGCCGTTCCTACACCAGTTGCAGAATCTCCACCCACCGATCTCAGCCAAAAGGTGGCGACTTCTTTTTTCGAAATACTTCACATAAGCGCCTTTACAGTATCAAAACAACTACGCGCTCCACAATTTCTGACGCTAAAGTGTGTGCTATTGCGGCGAGTCAGCAGTTTGATTGACACACCACTCAGCCTATCAGGTACCGCTACGAAGTGGCCTATCACTGCTATGGACTGCATTAATAAGCAGCCAGACACAACAATAGTTTATTTTCAATTAAGTGATGTAGAATGAAAAAGTGGGACAAAATGTTAAATTCCCACTGTGTAATGCAACGTAAATCGGGACAGGTGGTCACTCTAATCGTCATGGTTGATTTAGATGTTTTTGTAGAAAGTTCTTATACCAGTATCTCAAAGTATATAAATTAAAAAATGAAACTGTACTACCAGATTCTGTTTGAATCTTTTCCCCCAAACATTTGGTTCAGCAAATGCTGTATCACATAAATAAAAACACTAGATGGCGCCAAAGACTTTAGATCACTAGTATCAGAAAGGAAAATTCTGTATTAAAATTACAGATTAAGATTCAAACTTTCTCTAAAAAATAAGGACACATCTTACATTAACATGTCGGTATTTCTTAAATGTTATGGATCGATTTTGTTCAGAACATATTTGTATAATTATAATAACAACAGTAATAATAATGAT